ACTACGGAGGCGTGAGCGTGACTTACGGCCAAAACCCAAAATCTGGTCCGTGTCACAGAAACCGAACCTACTCCACGCCGTAGGTGTAGTGGGCTGCCAGGTGCCAGGCTTGCGCACTGCAATTGCAAGGCCTGCACTACATAACCCTAACCCTGCCCACACTACTATAATTACAGGGCCTGCACCACTGTAATTGCAGAGCCTGCACCACTGCAATTGTAAGGCCTGCACCACTACAATTACAAGGCCTGCACTACTACAATTGTAAGGCCTGCACCCACTGTAATTACAGGGCCTGCACCACATGCACTACATAACCCTAACCCTACCTACACTACTGTAATTACAGGGCTTGCACTACTGTAATTGCAGAGCCTGCACTACTACAATTGCAAAGCCTGCACCACTGCAATTACAAGGCCTGTACTACTGCAATTGCAAGGCCTACACCTACTACAATTGCAACGCCTGCACTTAGGTACTACAATTGCAGTGGTGCAGGCCTTATAATTACAGTAGTGCAAGCTTTGCAATTGTAGTAGTGCAAGCCTTGTAATTGTAGTAGTGCAAGCCTTGCAATTGTAGTGGTGCAGGCCTTGCAATTGTAGTAGTGCAGGCCTTGTAATTGTAGTGGTGCAGGCCTTACAATTGCAGTGGTGCAGGCTCTGCAATTACAGTGGTGCAGGCTCTGCAATTACAGTGGTGCAGGCCCTGTAATTATAGTAGTGTGGGCAGGGTTAGGGTTATGTAGTGCAGGCCTTGCAATTGTAGTGGTGTAGGTTACTGTGAAGCCTGCACCTGGCAGCCTACTACACCTAAGGCGTGGGGTTAGCTGGTTTTCGCAACTTGAAAACTGATTTTGGGTTTTGGCCGTAAGTCACGCTCACGCCTCCCCAGCCAGCCAGCCACAGGAAAGTACATCCGACAAGTGCATTGGGAGCCAACCACGAAGCTGGAAGCTGGAAGGCCCGAGCGCGGCACGTTTCCTGTCCCCACTTCCATGTTCGTGCATCTCCAGTTCTCCACCCTTGTGCCCGCTATGACCACCAGAATGCTGGACTGAAATAAAAGCTCTCCCAACCTCCGCCTCAAAACTTTTCGCCCACGGTTCTCGAGATGCGAAACACGCTCATCTTTCCGGGCAATTCTTGCCCAGGCCTCACTGCTAAAATATGTGAGAATCTGGGCATGTTGCCGGCGGAGGCCGAGCTCACCCAATTCTCAAATGTCAGTATTCTCCCTCGCATATGCCTGTCCCGGCCCATGCTGGTCGTCTCTTCAGACATTTCTTCTAGTTCGGAC